CTCCTTGGACCTGATCTGCTTGGGTCTGATCTGCTTGGGCCTGATCTGCTTAGGCCTAATCTGCTCGGGCCTGATCTGCTTAGGCCTGATCTGCTTGGGCCTGATCTGCTCGGGCCTGAACTGCTTGGACCTGATCTGCTTGGGTCTGATCTGCTTGGGCCTGATCTGCTTGGGCCTGATCGCTTAGACCTGATCTGCTTGGGTCTGATCTGCTCGGGCCTGATCTGCTCGGGCCTGATCTGCTTGGGCCTGATCTGCTCGGGCCTAATCTGCTTAGACCTGATCTGTTCGGGCCTGATCTGCTTGGGCCTGATCTGTTTGGGCCTGTCCTTGTCGGGCCTGTCCTTGTCGGGCCTGAACTCCTTGGACCTGATCTGCTTGGGTCTGATCTGCTTGGGCCTGATCTGCTTAGGCCTAATCTGCTCGGGCCTGATCTGCTTAGGCCTGATCTGCTTGGGCCTGATCTGCTCGGGCCTGAACTCCTTGGACCTGATCTGCTTGGGTCTGATCTGCTTGGGTCTGATCTGCTTGGGCCTGATCTGCTTGGGCCTGATCTGCTTGGGTCTGATCTGCTCGGGCCTGATCTGCTTGGGTCTGATCTGCTCGGGCCTGATCTGCTCGGGCCTGATCTGTTCGGGCCTGTCCTTGTCGGTCCTGAACTCCTTGGACCTGATCTGCTTGGGCCTGATCTGTTCGTGCCTGTCCTTGTCGGGCCTGTCCTTGTCGGGCCTGAACTCCTTGGACACCTAATTTATTATTACCTGATCTGCTTGGGCCTGATCTGCTCGGGCCTGATCTGCTTGGGCCTGATCTGCTTGGGCCTGATCGCCTTGGGCCTGATCTGCTCGGGCCTGATCTGTTCGGGCCTGTCCTTGTCGGGCCTGAACTCCTTGGACCTGATAAATAAATAAATTAGGTGTTTGAACCTCAGAGCTGAAAGCAAACCTGATCTGCTTGGGCCTGATCTGTTCGTGCCTGTCCTTGTCGGGCCTGTCCTTGTCGGGCCTGAACTCCTTGGACCTCATCTGCTTGGGCCTGATCTGTTCGGGCCTGTCCTTGTCGGGCCTGATCTGCCCGGGCCTGTCAAAATTAAATAAATTAGGTGTTTGAACCTCAGAGCTGAAAGCAAAGCTGTGCAACCCCGACATCAAAATCACTACGTCACGCGTAACAACACAAAAGAACAAGACACATTCATCGGCTTCTATCATGCCGAGAAGTACAAGCGCAACGAATCACGCCCATGAAAACAAAAATCGTACAAAACGACCAAGTATAACCAGAGATACAGCCATGTCAAACACTAACACTATAGTGTTAGGGGCTTGGGGCAATTACCCTCGGGAGGAAATGTCATGTACTTTGACATATTCGATCCCCTGTATTCTGTAGAATACCTTTTTGAATTGCTTTTGCCCAAATTTACGTTCATAAAAGGTATTCTTTGTCATGATGGGGCTCGATATTAGAGGCACAATCTGAGACGGTATACTTTACCACGTTGTGTGTCCTCTGGTACTTGATGTTGTCCCACCTTGTTGTGTAACATCTTGCTGTACCATCTTGGTGTATCATCTTGTTGTGGCATCTGTTGGTCCCAACAGATTGCTGATATCGCCTCCACCTGTCTTCAGTGTGATAGTCCATTCTCTGTCTCCACTGTGTGTGTGTGTGTGTTTCCACCTGCTATAAATGGGAGCGATCTCCCTGGATCAGTACCATTTTCCTTCTTGACCTCGGTCGTTCCACTTCCCTCCTTCTGTCTTGTTCTGTCTTGTTCCTTCGCCTTGCTTCAATCCATGTTCTCGTGTACACTTCGACTGGTTGGATACCTCTGTGACAATCGCCTTGTCCACACACATTACACTGTACTGGACATATACCTTTAATAGGTTATGGGCCTCGGTTGTGTACTCTTCCAACCTCTCTTTCGTTACCCTGCCTTGCGCTCTCCAGCTGCTCCGTTCCCCTCCTGCTTCCTCCCTGTGTCTTCTGCTTGCTGTGCTCTGTTTTTGTGCTTTTAAAACGATTCAATTTCAAAAACCTCTCTGTTCGCTTTGCTGTAAATTGTCATACTTTTTCT